TTAATAATGTACGTAAGATCAAACTAACTTGTGAGTGACATGAAGCCATAAAATTGAAGTACAAAATACTCGCTCGCCATGTCATAATTGTCCTTAGGGTTTCCAAGCACTATACATGACACATGAATGGCAAGCGCTGACGTAACGTGCTGACTGCGCGTTCTGATAAAGCCAACTACATAAGCACGGCTAGGGTGAATCATCGCACTTAAGGACAAACAGAGATAAGGCCTCTCAGCTGAGAGGTGCAGTGCGTGGACCTGCCAGAAGACCACACTTTTCTCGGGCCATTATCTCCGTAACCGTTCAACTTTGGACATAGGTGTTTTGGGTTATATCGGCATACTTTAACATAAGGAACACCCTCCCGAAGTTTGGTCCATTCCTCCTGGGACACCCTGTATATAAAACATAAATGATAATATGGAATTACAGAAATATAAAATGAAACTACTGAGTTACAGATGGACCGCCTCTGTGGTCTAGTGATCAGAGTTCCTGGGTTCGATTCCCAGCACTACCAGATTTTCTGAGCAGTAGTGTGTCTGGAATGGGGTCCACTGAGGCTCATGAGGATAACTGAGGAGCTATTTCAAGGAAACAGAGGCTATGGTCTAGAAACCCGAAATTAACGGCCGTGGGTATTCGTTGCACTGACCACACGACGCCCTCTATCCACTAAAAGTTGGCAATAACTTCATCGACAAGCAGCAGTCACTTGGTCCGTATAGTTTGATTGCAGACTCAAACCATGGAGTTTATTTAGTTTATTTTTGAGTTACAGATAGTTTTATGGTACTAGAAACTGTTAAGCCAGTTGTGATGATAAGGCATTACTTTTGTGTTTACATTTCTCAAAATATAATAATTACCAGACAGGTACTCCAAAGTGAGCTTCAAACACAGCATGTTCCAGTACTGTAAATTAACAATAAACAAAATATCAATGATGACACAGTTTTATATTTTTAAGGGCTGAGATCCTTATGTTGGGAATCATTGCTGTAGACATCAAATACAGATGCTTACACAAAACGAATCTGTGGTATGGGCTCCTTTAAAACAGCATGCTTCATATCTCTAAATCCAAAGCACTGGAAACAAAGAACAAAAATATATGGGAGAACAAGAAAGGCGACACTTGCTACGAAGAGGGCACATACGCAACACAGCTTTCGATGCAGGACTGGAGTTGAAAGATGAAGCCCCACTGGAGCTGGAGACGGTTCGAATTCTTTTTGTGGAGCGAGGAGTCTTGAATCCTTCTTCACTGGCAGGAGATGCTTCAAGGTTTAACCGTCGTTTCACTGCCTAAAAGGAAAGTCACTTGTGAACAACAACTATTTTCTGCTCATAAAAAATCTAAAGAATGACATTAGTTGATGAGTTAGAGCTTAACCTCCAACTTGTGCTATTTACAATCATGACTTTTGCTAGTACTGAATGTAAAACACGCTTTTGATTCAATCCTGGTAAAGGTATAAGTAGGGATAACTCAGTCTGTATAATGATGGGTAGAGGCTGGGATTCAAATCCCAGCACAGGCAAGATTTTTCTCTTGTCCATAATGTCCGAACCAGCTCTCCTGGACTCCCATCTAATGGGTACTGGGTTCTTTCCCTATGGGTAAAGCGACCAAGCATGAAGCTGACTACTCACCTCCGTCTAGCGCCATGGTCTGGAATTATGGAGCTACACCTACACTCACCCATGTCTACATGGGATAGTGCTTAAAATTAAGCACAAGGACAACTTTGCTTTTTTTAACCCAGTGGAGGTAAAGTGTCTCACTACATCAGACCCAAAGCACCACACCCTGAACAAAAAATTGGGGTTGTGATGTTAAGGCTCCACATATTAATCACTTTCCGCGTCAGGAGGTGCAAGTGATAAGCTTTGTTCATGTTACTTTCTTCACCCTGGAGAAAGCATTCCAGTAACTACCATATGCATTCTCTCATTGAACTCAGAATCATTTTGAACATGACGAAAAAACACAATACATGCGTGTAAGGGGTGGGCCATAAGATCCCACACTCGCACTGTGACGTTCAATGATCTATTGTGCTTCCCCTTTGGATTAACCCTTTATTAATCCTACACTTCGAATGAAACGTAGGGCAATCACAATACACACTTAACTTCACCAAAACCTGACTGCACTATACACATGTAATAAAAATATCAAACATCACACATTTGTCTGTAAACGATATTTTGAACCAAATAATGAAATATGCATTTACTCAGTATTCACCTATTGGTGTTTAGGTTTTCTAGTACAGGAAAATACATTGGAGCAGTGATTATATCTGTAAAAATCAGTACCCTATGGTAAGAAATAATACTTCACTGCTACAAAGATACACCACAGAAACTAACACTACAAAGCATGTTTGAGCATTCTAAGCTACAGTTAACAATGGATCATCACCATCTCTGTGAAGAATATGAAACTGTGTAGAAAATGAGAAGACAGAATAGTTCTGTAAGCTAGTCCAAGGTCCATCAAGTGTCATACACAACTGCTGTGTGAAAAGCAGACAAAAACACTTCCACTACAAGGCACAAAGGTGGGACTATTATACTGGGATTCCTTTTAGGGATGTAGATTCACCAGTACAAAAACACAAGAATTCATAAGAAAAACTTGGAAGTCTGCTATAATGGAGTAAAGTAAAAAAAGTAAAGGTATCCCTGTAACAGGCCATGAAAGCCCATAGGGTTGTGATGTTGAGGCTCCCACATTTTCTAGACAGTTGGCTCACAGATGGCAGTGAGGTGGTCAGCCTAATGCACTGGCTGCCCTTTACCTCCAGGAATATCCTGGTACTCATTTTTGTTAGAGGCTGAGTTGACCCCAGGGCCACAATGCAGCTGGAAGGATTAGATAAATTGAAATCCACCTCATCGGGATTCAATCCTGCTATCTTTCTGGCTTGTAGCACAGTGCCTCAACCAAATAAGCCATCACATGGCCTCGCTATAACGGAGTACATACACATATCACAAATGAGCAGTACAGAACACTGAGGTTTGATTACATTACTCAAGAAATAAAAACTTGCACCCTGGTCTGTGTGCGCAACCATGCTAAAATTCTAAGTCTGCTTGTTCCCATGTTCAATACTGCAGATTCAAAATTCAGGCAATTACACCAGGATAAGGTTCCAGGTAATTTCCTGCCACCTACCAGTTCTATATTAAACCGTGCCAACAAATGTAATCTCAAGCCACTTCCAATCCCTTCTTCAAAACCTGCCTCTAAAATCAATCCTAGTGTTAACACTCCATTTCCTTCAGTCTTCTATTTCTGAACTTCTGGTCTGTTTTGTCTGAGTCACATGTCCAGCCTCCATTTCACCTTGACCTTCATCATCCAGGAAGAGAGAATTTAAATATCCTACTACCATGTCACTTACAGCCAAATTTAAACTTGGGAATAAATGCACTTACACAGTAAATAATGGGAAGTTATGCCTGCCCAACCTGTGCATGCAAAGTTGTGTGACAAATGTGAAGTTCCAATTATGTAATATCTTAACATGACCAGTTTCCTTTTTCCCTCTTAGGTTCAAACATCTTCTCAAGCAATTCTTTTTACACTTATTACTTCATATTCTTCCCTCAGAACATATTTCACAATCATACAAAACAGGTGGTAGAAACACAGCCCACTGCCAGGTAACGGCTCAATAAATACATACTGCTACAACAGATATGCACAGAATAGTGGAATTGGGGAGTCAACACACCACAATATGGGAACAGTTGGAAGTGTCTTCTGCACATTCCATGAGGGGTTGTACAACAAAATCAGCTGGACAAGCCAGTGATCGATAGTGATGACATAAGAACCATTCAAGGGTCAGAATAAGTCACTTCTGGAAGATGTTTCAAAGCAATGACTTACGAAAACACAGAAAACTAAGAAGACTTAACACATGCTTTAATGATTTATGTAGATTAGCAGTAGTACCATAATTACTTGTAGCTACAAGTTACAGGTGTCACTAACACATGACAATATCTTTCGTGGGTTCTATCAAATTTGGCAGTGAAGTCATGCCATCTTAGATTATCGAGAAATTACCCTTTTTATGACAGCATAAATCCAACCCAACGTGGCATACACAAATTTTTAGATATGACCAATGTTCCTTCAATTCCACACAGGAATATCAAAATTTCTAATGGACCATATCTCTTAAAAGTTTGCAACTTTTGCAATGGCCATTTTTCCCTAAAATTGAAAATAACATGTGACTAAAGAACACTGCCTTCTAGGACATAATGGTGTGTAGTCTGATGGGAGTATACTGATGTTTTGAACAAATATACTAATATACTACAGCCATCTTAATGGCCTTAACCTTCAAGCCTGAAAATGGAAGCAGTACATCCCTGAACAACATTAATCAGTTGGTCTTTGGAGTGGAGACACAATGTGTTTCCTGTGAGGTACGAAATAAATCATTATAGATTTATGAGATATTCCGTCTTTACAGGGTTAAACTCTGTGGACTGAACCAAATCTGTTACTTTATACCATGTTATTTGTTGTCATAACCAAATTTCAATGACTGAACAAATATGAGATCATGTTTCAGAATATGTACGTATGTTACGTAACAATTTAGCATATGTGCTTCCTAACTTATAAACTTGGATATACAATAAAACATTCATACATATATATCTAACATAATAAACAAAAAAGAAATTCATACAAGTTTCATATCCAACACAGGAAGAACAAATATATTCATTTCTGAACTTATGTTTATACACACACATCAATGAAATATAGCAACAATACCTCACACAAGACTATGAAACCCAGTATATGTAGGAGCATACCTCAGTCCTTGGTGGAGCTGCGGTAGGTCTTCGTATGATTTGGTGCTGTGGGGTCTGGCCATACTCATGATCAAGCAGATGATATGCTGAAGGACTGATCAACGTGAGGCCATTATGTGATTGTGACTGTGCCACAGAGATATCAGCGTTATTACTGACCTCCACATAGGCCCTTGAACCTATAAGGAATTAAAACAACAGAAACTGAAGATACTAGTCAATATTGAAGATACTAGAAGTCAACTAGAAGATACTAACAACTGCTTTATAGTAGATGACATCAAACACAAATCTTCAGTATATGTGCTTAAGATCAGAATGTAACTCTGAAAGCATTCAAGCATACATGACCACAATACAAACCTAGCTTGGTAGTGGCCATATCAGGGGTAGCCAAGATTCGAGAACTATCATCTACCAAAGTCACTGCTCGCCGAACACGAGGCATCTTTGTATCTATGAGAGAACTAGCTTGAAGTTAACCAGTGTTAACAGGCCGACATTCAACACATCCCCCAACACATGGAAAGGCTTCTTCTTTACAATGGTACACAATTATGTCTTTGCAGCTTCACTACGTGATCACCTGAAAATGGACAGAAGCTTGCTTTCAGAATGAAGGGCTACATAGGGGTCACAACCCCACGCAACTAATAATCATTATTTTCAAGAATAATTAATGTGACCACAGTTATATTCCCTTGACCAATCAGATCATTAAATGCAAAGAAGTTGCAATCTACAAAAACAGATACTCCAGATTTACAATGCACAATATATCAGACCTCAATACATACGCCTACAAATAGTACAAGGTACCACACATACGTTAGCCACTGTAATAATTACTATCTTAACTTTAAAAGTACGCGTGTCATGAAGTGTACAGCAGCGAAGCCTGTACCGATCTCACAATATCAGTACGAATTAAATTCGATGAATGTGGTTCATCACACGCCATCGTTTACGTGCGTCCATTTTTAAACCAGACATGTTTTACAGATACAAACACATTTACACGTTCACGAACCTCAATTTACAAGTAATCTAGCCTTGGTCGTTTATTTAGGATGTATTGTTATAATCTTAGAGGTCGAGTGCATTCCGAAACAACACAACTTTCTAGATTCCAATGCTCACATTCATAACAAGACTGTTACCTTGAATCATTACTTACCCTTGCGAGGACCAAGTACAAACTTCGGCAGTGCTTGAAATTTAGTTTCATTAACTTTGAAACAATTTAAATGCTACATGTTCATAAAAAAGATGCAATGATGCCAAGCACCAACGTGTAGTCTTTTGTTTTGTGATTGGCGTACAAGCCGCAGTTACCGCATAATAATCAAGCAGATTTCCTTTATATAAATGAGTCTGTACAGAATAATAGACTCACTAAATCTCCGGATTCATAATGCATTGCTAACAAACATGTAAGAACTGCTTATCAAAATTTTATAATCGACATGTACAAACACTCCCAAAATCACTCGCCACAAATCAACTTTACGTGCTTCCAGCCATCTGCTAAAAACAGCCAGTAGCAACAATGAATGTGGCGCGAAGTTGTATTTCCCGCAAATAACGTATTTCCTGCTGTGGCCCAGAAATGTGCGTGAATATGATGCAGCGGGGTATCTTATTCAAGGCTGTCCTTAAGTATTGAAATAACAAATTCTCTGCAGCCATTTGAAACTCTTTTACAAAATTATATATTATCAGTTCATTAATAGCAATTTATTGACATAGCATTTAAAGCACAATTAAGTCATAAGTTAATATCCCTATTACGGACACTTTAAATTGAACTCTAGAGAGCAGCAGCGGTGAAACATGGTGGCCTTATGAGGCAGAGTACGGTTATGAGACTTTGTTTGGGTATATTTTGAGAGCAAATTTCATTTCATTGGTTTGACAGTGCGTTTCAGATCTTTGCCACAGAGATGTGTATTTAATAATACGTTCAGTTCGTTTAATAAACATAAGTATCATAGTGCTGTGTATTGCTTTCCATGTTTACATGACGACTTGAAACGTATCGTATTTTGAGTATAAGAAAGCCCCTTTTCTATTTACAAAGATAATTCATTACAATAATGTGGATTTATTGATTATTTAATGATGTGTTTCGGCAAATAATTATTATGACTTTAAAGTTATGAATGTCATTTGTTCTGTGCAAGAGTAATATATAGTGTATCCTAAGAGGTTAAATCTTGCACCTACATGTTTAGTGTGAAGATAATTTACAATATTGAAGGATATATCATATCCATAAAACTCTAAGGGATATGAGCAACATGAATGGTCACATAATATTGAACACTCCTATTGCTGTAGATGTTTGGAGGAGGGGCACAGACCAGGTAAGGTAATCAGAAGTTTAAATCATGGAGGAAATATTGTGCTTGTTACATTGTAAATTCAATAATTTTTTTCAGCAGAAGGCCGAACTTTGTACTGATCTTGCATGAACAGTGTACTGAATATGTTAAGAGGTGCAGACAAGGTAAAGTGAAATAAGGCTTAAATTGAGGATGAAGTATTTTTCAACCTGTTATGTTGTAAATCCAGTTATTTTCCTTTTTTTACATGGCTGCATTTTGTGTCACACGAATTGTTTATCAGATGAAAATGAGATTAATTTTTTCTCTTTGGCCTTAATGCTGTATTTTCATGTGATAACCTGTAAATATATGAGTGAATGTCACTTGTCACATGGACAGAAGGGGCATGGACTGTACCCATCTTGTGAGGGATGATCTACCATGGGCATTTATATAAGTGAAGGAACATTTCTCATATATTTGAAAGCAGAATATGCATTTACTCCTTACTAAAGCAACCCCAAAAAGCATGTTCCTGCTCGCTTGTGTAGTAACAGTACTACATAATGTGACTAATTATTGTGGGGTCCATATGGCACCTATGGTAGATAGAGTGGCACGGGGAAGGATTTTCTTAAAGTACTTCAGTTTTCCCATTGTATCATTCCACCAGTGTTCTTTTCTCGCAACCATCATTGGAGGCTGATAAAATGTGCCCCAATACAGCTTATGTACCAAGAAACCCAATATTACCATATAATGTCATGTTCTTGTTACATTTCATATGTTGGACAACAGAAAATGCAAACAAATGTTACATTGTGATCCGCAGACAAGATATACTTCAGTTCTGAAATGTATTTTATTTTCCAGTATGTTCATTTCCTTTCTCACTGTCATGCTGACCACATAGTTGGCCTAACTTCAACATGGAGACTTCCTATTTACACAACCCATTTCAATGCATGGATGCTGAAAAATAAATTCAAGGTGAGTTTAACACATTTTAATCTTGCTGTGGGTCATTCAGTTTTTGAAAAAAGATCTACATGGTGCAATTCAAAAGTTCCCAAAATATATTAACAAAAACTATTACATCTTACCTAGATCTTATTCTGCACCATCACCTTCAAAGTAGTCCCCTTGGGAGCGCATACACCGATCCCAGCGTTTCTGCCACTTTTCAGATGCATCCTGGAAGTCTTTCTTTGTTAGGGTCTTTAGTACCGTCTGCGTTTCTGCTTGATTTTCCTCAACTGTATCAAATCTTCGCCCCCTCAACTTGATTTTCATCTTGGGGAAGAGAAAGAAGTCGCATGGAGCTAAGTCTGGTGAGTACGGTGGGTGGGGAACAACTGCCATCTTGTTTTTAGCCAAAAATTCCTGCACAATGTAAGCCGTATGCGTTCATGCATTGTCATGGTGGAGTACCCAGTCGTTCGTGCGCCACTTCTCTGGACGTTTTCTCCTCATGCCCTCCCTCAAATGCCTTAGAACATTGCAATAGGACTCTTTATTGACTGACCAGGAGGGACAAACTCCTCATGAACAATCCCATCAATATAAAAAAAA